TGAGTGAGCGGGCATTAACCGATGTCTCAACAAAGCAAGAGTATGCCATCAAATGAGAGAGTTACCTACCTCATTACCATTGTGCAAAACACAAAAGTCGATCGCTCCTGAAACACATTCGAAATACCACGAGAGTTTAGTGCCAGCTGAATTGACTCTGATCGGAATTTTAACAACCGAACGTGCGTTTACGGTCACCTTCTCGAGTTCATCGAACGCGCAACGTTTCGGCAGAAATGTTTCTCTGAAATTTATTTCATTCTTATTCAGAAGATTATTCACTTTCCACACAACTTTTATCGTCCTATTTCGATGCACACATAATTTTTTCAGTTAGCAAAGAATTCGCCTTTGTAATTTCAGTCAGCGAACGTTCGTCATGTTTGAACAATGTGTTGTTCATTCACTATTTCTTCGATATTTTTCAGTTTGTATTCATTGATAATCATACTTACTTCACCGCACATTCCAACATAGAAGAGTATACCTCAATTCGTCAGTTAAGACCTTTGCCTCCTTTACATACGATTTCTCTAGTGTACCTCCCCAACGTTTTGGAATGTTTTCTGCGCCATGATTCCTGATTAACAGCTCTTTCCAATCGTTACCAACTATTTCAATTTTTTCAATTGTATCCTGAATTTATAAATGGCTAAGTGGGTAATACATTTTAACAGCCAACAATCAAAGTTTCAGTTCAATCGCAATTCACCTTAGAGTGTTTAAGGTTTACAAAGACTAACTATAATCACTATAAACTTACTTGAGTAAGTACTTTCTTCATCATTGTCCATATGATTTCTACTGCCGACGGAACATTGATCACATATATTTTTGCTGCGGTATCTACGAAAGCACGCTGAAAATTCCATTGATACATCCATCAAAATAGTTTTGCAAGATTCAGATTTATTCATTTGTTTTTCTATTTCATTTAAACTACATTTGTTTTTCATAAGATGAACATCGTAATCCCTTGCATAATTCCTCATCCAGCAAACAGATCCCTCTTAAAAAGCTTTCTTTTCCAAAAAACATGGAAATCACATCCGAATGGTTTTTAGTCAGTGGAATATTCTGGCTGAGTCGTATTTCGCCGTAAGTATCATGAATACTGACCTGAAGGAGTGTCATCAAATTCAAATACATTTTAATGGCAGTTAACGATGCGACTAGCTCCAGTGAATAACCACTGAGGTCGGTCACCATAACAACTCCCAATTTACGGTTACGTTTCTTTTCCTCGGCTCTGAATTAAAGACTGTTTGATGAAACGTATCCATTCTCACAATCTTATGCGTATGTTTGCTCAATCACAAAATAATTTCGTATTTCCAAAGCTCGTATCACACCGACTGAGTTTGAATCTTTTATCGTTTGTGCATTGAGGTGTTAACGAGTCATTCGCTTCGAATATAAGTGACATGAACAACCTTAGCAGTGTCTGAATGCCTTCAGCTTCAGTGAGTGCGGCAATAAAGAAATCGGCGTTCGTCGTACAGTGCAGCAATTGTCGCGGTCTCAAATCACCAGTTCCGTTCATTACCAACACATTACCATGTTTATCTGTTCCGATTATGCCACCTCAATTGAGATTCTTCTCGTAAGATTCAGAATACGATGAACGTACCGTCAATTGATATCATTAAAAACTGATTTCGTTTGTTAATGTCTCATTATAAGCGATCTTTTGAGCCTTATTTTGATGCGCGTACATAAGAAATTTTCGAATGGAAATTTGATCGCTTTACCTGGAAAGTACGCACTCAGCGGTGTGACGACATTCATTTGCTGATTTATCTTTGGAATTGTGCTCAAATCTTTGTCGAGAATATGAAGACAAGATAACGCATTCAGTGCCCAACTCATCTGTTCAACGGTCTTCTCTGAAAATCTTATCGCTCTTTACAAGTTACCATCAAATCCACTCAGTCAATGTTTCATTACCACTCATCGCATTGATCAGTTTCATTTCGCCTTCTGCCATGTAATCATATCCTTCCGTATTATAAATGACTCATTCAACCAACCTAAGAAAATCGCTAATATACCGACCTAATCCTGTTGCATAAAATCCAGTGAAGCATAAAGTTAATCGTATTCATCGCATAATAACTGATTAAGATTAAACTTGAAATTTATGCGTCTTAAGTCAGTTCACAGCAAAGAATACCAAATCCCTCTGTGCCTTGCATTTGTAGATTATCGAAAAGCTTTCGATTCAGTTGAACGCAGCCGTGATTAACGCTCTACATGAGGCCGGCGTCAACGCAAAATATGTCAAAATGATAAAATTAATAAACAAAGGATGTTCCACCGAAATAAAAATACTCTCAGAAAGATGCCATATAAAAATTACCAAAGGAGTGCGACAAAGAGACACATTATCTCCTAAACTATTTGCAACAACACTAGAAGAACTCTTCAGAAACATGAAATTCAAATGGGGAATAAAAATAGATGGTGAAATACTATCTCATTTACTCTTCGCAGACGACTGCGTATTAGTAGCCACAAACCCAAAGGATCTCAAAAGTGACTTAGGTCAGCTAATGATAAACTCCAAAAAAGTGGGCCTGAAAATGCATCTGAAAAAGACCAAATGGATGTGAAACTCCTATTGTGTACAAGATACAATTCAAGTGGATAAAACAGAAATTGAACAGGTGCGAGAATATGTCTACAGAAATGCACAACATAGAATTGCATGCGAATCGGTTGACCTGCGCACACACAGAGAGCGAAGAAAGGTCGCGAGTTAATCGCAAGGTAAGTCAGTTCAGTTTTCATATCAAAAATGCTTCACATTTTTGAGCATCTTACTTCGGAACTAAAGTTTGTTCGAATTATCGTGGTTGATACATTTCAGAAATTTCTCGTAATGGTCGGTCAATTCACATTATTGATAGTTTTCTGTGCTGGTTCATCAACTGCGCAATAAATTCATCAAGCAACAAATATTGCTGTTTATGAGGTAGGATTACCTCGGTCATGGTCACAAGCTCGTAACCACCGCAGTAACGCAAAATCAGTGTCATATGCGGGACACTTTTGCAGAATATCCTTCATCACTGCACTCAACCAATCGATTTCCTTTCGTTCCTCATTCGTGATCAACGATCCGCACAGGACAGAAGTTGATACGCCATTTTTACCAGACTCCATTGTTTGCCAGTCTGAAATGTCCACTCGCAGAGTGTATCGTCAAACGTTTCAAGCGC